AACTTAATGTTGTACCTATACTTTCTAACAAATCCCTTTATGGTACAACTAAAAATTGTACCTATACTAATGGTACAACCTTAAGTTGTACCTACACTTTCTCATAATTCTTTTATGGTACAACCCAAACTTGTACCTATACCATGGTACAACTTTAATTTGTACCTACACTTTCTCAAAATCCTTCTATGGTACAACCCAAACTTATACATATACCATGGTACAACTTTAAGTTGTACCTACACTTTCTAATAAATCCCTTTATGATACAACTCAAAATTGTACCTATACTAATGGTACAACTAAAAGTTGTACCTACACTTTCTCCAAATCCTTCTATGGCACAACCCAAACTTGTACCTATACCATGGTACAACTTTAAGTTGTACCTACACTTTCTAACAAATCCCTTTATGGTACAACTTAAAATTGTACCTATACTAATGGTACAACCTTAAGTTGTACCTACACTTTCTCAAAATTCTTTTATGCTACAACCCAAACTTGTACCTATACCATGGTACAACTTTAAGTTGTACCTACACTTTCTAACAAATTCTTTTATGGTACAACTCAAAATTGTACCTATACTAATGGTACAACTTTAAATTGTACCTACACTTTCTAATAAATCTCTTTAAGGTACAACTCAAAATTGTACCTATACTAATGGTACAACCTTAAGTTGTACCTACACTTTCTCAAAATCCTTCTATGGTACAATCCAAACTTGTACCTATACCATGGTACAACTTTAAGTTGTACCTACACTTTCTAAAAATCCTTCTATGGTACAACCCAAACTTGTACTGATACCATGGTACAACTTTAAGTTGTACCTACACTTTCTAACAAATCCCTTTATGGTACAACTAAAAATTGTACCTATACTAATGGTACAACCTTAAGTTGTACCTACACTTTCTCAAAATTCTTTTATGGTACAACCCAAACTTGTATCTATACCATGGTACAATTTTAAGTTGTACCTACACTTTCTAACAAATCCCTCTATGGTACAACTCAAAATTGTACCTATACTAATAGTACAAATTTAAGTTGTACCTACACTTTCTAATAAATCTCTTTATGGTACAACTCAAAATTGTACCTATACTAATGGTACAACTTTTAGTTGTACCTACCCTTTTTCAAAATCCTTCTATGGTACAACCCAAACTTGTACCTATACCATGATACAACTTTATGTTGTACCTACACTTTCTAACAAATCCCTTTAAGGTACAACTAAAAATTGTACCTATACTAATGGTACAACCTTAAGTTGTACCTACACTTTTTCAAAATTCTTCTATGGTACAACCCAAACTTGTACCTATAACATGGTACAATTTTAAGTTGTACCTACACTTTCTAATAAATCCTTTTATGGTACAACTCAAAATTGTACCTATACTAATGGTACAACTTTAAGTTGTACCTACACTTTCTAATAAATCTCTTTATGGTACAACTCAAAATTGTACCTATACTAATGGTACAACTTTTAGTTGTACCTACACTTTTTCAAAATCCTTCTATGGTACAACCCAAACTTGTACCTATACCATGGTACAACTTTAAGTTGTACCTACACTTTCTAAAAATCCTTCTATGGTACAACCCAAAATTGTGCCTATACCATGGTACAACTTTAAGTTGTACCTACACTTTCTAACAAATCCCTTATGGTACAACTAAAAATTGTACATATACTAATGGTACAATTTTAAGTTGTACCTACACTTTCTAATAAATCCCTTCATGGTACAACTCAAAATTGTACCTATACTAATGGTACAACTTTAAGTTGTACCTACACTTTGTGAAACAAATTCTTCAATGGTACAGCTGAAACTTGTACCTATACGATATGGTACAACTCTAATTTGTACCTACACTTGTATACATTGATTCATTATTTACAAGATTGCCATTAATGATGTGGGACCAGTCATTTAGTGGGTTTACCTCCTCAACAGGTCACCTTTTTTATAGCATGGGTGCTATAGAGCACACTAGAAGGGCTCCACAAAGTTAATGTATGAATTGCGTAATTAAATTAAAAAACAGAGATCACTTCTTTCTAGAATAAGAATTTCAGCATATATCATCATGGCTATTGCATTCGTAGTAAAACTTGGAAATTATATTAAAGAATTGTAGGACTTCAATGCAATTTAATTGTTCCACAACCATGAATATAAGTGAAATGAAAAATAATAATTTGTACAACCAATACATATTAACATGTTAGAAGTAGTACAAAGGAAATTTGAATTGGGTAGTGACGATTAAGAAAAGAAACTAAGTTTAGCGATAATCAACAAAATTTTAATAGGGATATGCTGGTGAATGTAAGGGAGCAACAACAATGGCAGTAATAATGGAAGAAAGAATACTTGCGATCATTCTTAAGATAATAAATATCAAAGATAAATAATATTTTTTTAGCCAAACTGTTTATGAATTTAAAATATTAGCCAAACCTTTGAGAATATTAAATATTACCCAATTGTTAAGTCTTCGTTAATACTTTCGTTAGATAATGATGAGCTGGCAGATTTTAGGTGAGATTGAAGGAATATGATGACATGACACTCAAAAAAAATAATTTTTTAATTTTTAATTTCAACCAAGCCTTTCACAGATTCTAAAATATTAGAGAAAGTAGAATGAGAATACGAATATTAGACAAACCTTTCACGGATTCTTCCTTTGTCGTCGTTCCTTTGTTCTTCCTGAGGTCTACTCCGACGCAGAGGCCCATTTCCCGTCACCAACGACTGCTTCTCTCCACTACTTAATAAGCTGGCCAACAATATATGTGGAGTTAAAAACTTAAAAGTGAATGGATTGGCTCTATATACATAAGTTTGAATTAAATTTGAACCGAGAGAGTAATTCGAACCTAAAAAAAATCAATTGGTTACATTTCTTGTCAATCTCATCTTGTTTGATGAACTTAAACTTGTAAGTGGACGTTATTGGTTGGAATATCCTTGTTGCCAGAGTGACCTTGAAGTTCTTGATGGTGTAGACTCTCTAGTCATGAAACAGAGGCTGAAAATCCTTGATTTTTCCTTCGGGAATTTGGACCCAAATATCATTACCCTGAAGAAGTAAAATAAGTCTATTGATAAAACTGTGAGATTTTAATCATAGAGTTTTGATTTGTGTGGTTGTAGTTAGTATACCTTTGAGTAAATAACTATACTACTGGTACGAAGAATAACATGTGTTGTGATTGATTGTCATCCACTTCCTCGAAACTCGACATTGAATAATCCAATCTCACTTTTGAGTTATCGGTCGGATATCAATTGAGATTTCATACTGAATAACCTTTCATTAAAACATTAGTTAAACAATCAATTTTGTTTCACCATGGATCTTAGAGTAACTCTCAAAAGACTTACTAAGCACAAAATTAATGTATGAATTGCGTAATTAAATAAGAAAACAGAGATCACTTCTTTCTAGAATAAGAATTTCAGCATATATCATCATGGCTATTGCATTCGTAGTAAAACTTGGAAATTAGATTTAGAACGAAGATTGAAGAATTGTAGGACTTCAATGCAATTTAATTGTTCCACAACCATGAATATAAGTGAACTGAAAATAATAATTTGTATAACCAATGCATATTAACATGTTAGAAGTAGTACAAAGGAAATGTGAATTGGGCAGTGACAATTAAGAAAAGAAACTAAGTTTAGCGAAACATCAACAAAATTTTAATAGGGATATGCGGGTGAGTGTAAGAGATCAGCAACAATGGCAGTAATAATGGAAGAAAGAATACTTGCGATCATTCTTAAGATAATAAATATCAAAGATAAATAATATTATTTAGACAAACTGTTCACGAATTTAAATATTAGACAAACCTTTGAGAATATGAAATATTACCCAATCGTTAAGTCTCTGTTAATACTTTCGTTAGATAATGATGAGCTGGCAGATTTTAGGTAAGATGGAAGGAATATGGTGACTTGACACTCAAAAAGAATAATTTTTTATTTTTTAATTTATAGTTTTAACCAAGCCTACACGGATTCTAAAATATTAGAGAAAGTGGAATGAGAATACGAAATATTAGACAAACCTTTCACGGATTCTTCCTTTGTCGTTGTTCCTTCGTTCTTCCTGAGGTCTACTCCGACGCAGAGGCCCATTTCCCGTCACCAACGACTTCTTCTCTCTTTACTCAATTGTAACGACTACCGAATAGTCTCTGCCGAGAAGATAGGAGGCAATGACTGTTGATGCAAATGGTGGTTAGGTTTGGCTAATATTTCGTATTCTCAAAGTTTTGGCTAATATTTTATAATCCGTGAAAGGTTTGGCTAAAAAATAATATTTTTCCTTATAAATTATTTGAAAATATTTTTAAATTCACATGACGTTGATGTGTCAAACACTTGAAATGACGATTAGTTAACGTCTATCCTGTTAAGGCTAACGTTAACAGGGAATGGCTATAATTGTATAGCATTATAAAAGGTTTGACCAATATTTTATATTTTCTAAGATTTACTTACCCAATAATCAATATATATGGAATATTGTATTTTCTAAGATTTACTTACGCAATAATCAATATATATGGAATATTACTTCTATTGGAGAAGGCAATTATGGAACCGAGTATACTTACAGTTATAATGATTCCATGTCAAAATAGATGCCTCCAAATCCAATTGTCTAAGATAAGAATGAGTTTTTACTTTTTAGGGGGTAAAAAATTGTAATAATTAGATAAGAACTTGGGAAGGGTATTCAACGAAAAAAAAAACTTGGGAAGGGCTGAACGTGGTAGGTGGGGCTTGAGTTCAAGTCCTTAACACTGTGATCATTTGGAAAGGAAAAAGAGGGGAGGGTAGGAAAAGGAGGAAAAGCAACAATTCCCATACATTTTCCCTTGTTTTCTAAATTCAGAATAGTGATGAAGGGAAGGAAAGGAAAGGGGGGAAAGGGTTACTGTTCCACCCCCTACCATTTTGGAGAGAAAACGTAACCTGCTCATTAATTCCATTTTCTTATTATTATTATTTGCCCTCTCTCCTCTCTGTTCTCCACTATCTTCTTCCTTCTCCACTAGGAGATAGAATACGAACCAGTGGAAGAACAAAAAACAGAGGCCTTTTCTTCTTCTTTGTTCTCCCTAAAGCTGGTCCGCCACCTATCTCCCACTGCACAAATAATGGCAAGAAAGTTATATTTCCATCATCCCCCATAATCTATCCTACATTCATTCCATTCATCGAAAATTTGTTGTCTTCCCATAGATCGACGCAGCTTCCTCTTCTTCTTTTTTTTCCTTGTGCGAGCAGCTTCCTCTTCTTCGTTCTTCCTTCTGAATCGGTCTCCTTTCTCCAGTTTGTGGGTAATCTAGATCTGTAATCTGTTTTTTCTTTGTTGATTTTTTTTGAATCAAAACTTCTTTTCCTTTTTCCCCATATCAGAGAACTAGGGTTCACTGGAAATTATGATCCTGTGAGCAGTGAGTTCCAAAGATCGATATATTCCCTCCATGGAAAACCCCACTATTTCCTTCCATCCCTAATATCCATCTATCCGTCACCAACAAAGTCTAGCATCTAACTAAAAACAGATCCCATTGGTTGCTGCTGAACTTTTGTTCTTCTTTTCCAAACCAGAGCCCTCCTACAGTCTGCTTCATTCTTATTTGGCCAGCGAAAAATAGAGCATTCTCCGATGTCCATGGTAAGGAACTTTACCCCATCAAACATCGTCTTCCCTTTCCCCCCCAAATCAGAAAAGCTAGGGTACATAAAATTACTTTTATTTTGTATGTTACAGGTTGCTGTTGTTGCTTTGGTGGCCTCTGTTTTTTTTCCTCTCTCGGTCGTTCTGGTCTTCTAGGATTGCATTAGGCTGGATTGAGGTTTGGGGACAATAGTGTCCGTTGTTGACGCCGCTAGGTATGTTGCTCTACTGATTGCATTGTTGCATTATACCGGTTGCAACCTGGCTGCTGCTTTTGATTTTTCTCACTTTATGATATGAACCGAACTGTTTAGTTGTTTTCATTGTCTCTCCCTTTATGTAACTCTGGTTATCCTTTGTTGAATCTGTTCTCTTTGTTAGGACAAGATGGTTTTGATTCTTTGATCTCTGGTTGTTGTGACTGTGCTTCTATAGGTTGCTCTTTTCTTTTGTTTAAGACGTTTCATGGTGATTATTTGTTAGGACTAGAACCTGACTTTGAAAAGAGAACATCATGATTTAGCCATTAAAGTCCTTCATCTGCCGGTAAATGTAGAAATGATAATAATGTGTGCTGAATAAATTTTATAGCATTAACGTACCAACTTAATTATCATTTATATCTTGATTAGATGGATAAAGAAGCTCAAGACTCAAATGAGATTGAAGAGCATATTACTGATGGTTTGGAAGAGATTTTAGATTTGCATGGACCAGAACAAGATAGTTGGAGAATTGTCATGGAAAATTGGCAGAGACAAAGAGATATGTGTGTCATACAACTTATTTGCTACATTGTCCATGCATTGCATCTATTAAATAGACAAGCCTCCAGTGGATCGTGGGGTTGAGTTTTCAAGTAAGAGAGGATAAAAGAAGAGATTTTCTGAAACAATTGCGTAACCATGAAGTTGCATGTCGTGCAACATTACGTATGGGGGTAGAAGCGTTCGCTCTTTTTTGTGAAAAATTACGGGGTACAGGAGTGTTGCAAGATTAAAACGTGCCACAGTGGAAGAGCAAGTAACAAGATTTTTGTCTATTCTTGCCCAAACTGGTGGCAAGTATCGCAATCTGGCTTTCTATTATCGTCGAAGTATTGGGACTGTCAGTAAGCATTTTCATAATGTCTTGCAAGCTGTGATAAGTTTAGCACCTCAATTCCTGAATCAACCTAGTGCAACAACGCCAGTGTCCTCCGTAATAGACAGTAACTCTAGATTTTTTCCGTACTTCAAGGTAATGATTCATTACTTGCATTATGTACATATTACCATATCTTAAAGTGTCTTTCAAAATCATGTACACTTAGATGTCTGCATACATATCTCCTCAGGATTGCATTGGGGCTATTGATGGTACACACTTTCGAGTGAAAGTAAATCGCGCCAGTCAAACTCGTTTTAGAGGTCGGAAAGAATGGCCTACTCAAAATGTTTTAGCTTCATGCAACTTTGACTTGCAATTCCTATACGTTTTAGCTGGGTGGGAAGGGACAGCATCTGATTCAAGGATTTTAAAAGATGCATTTGCTAGACCACATGGACTTGTAATACCAGAAGGTATGTCATGCAGCATAATCATCCTTGTATGTGTTTCACTATTACTTGCATCATTCATCTTTTCATTAATGTTTTTAATAACCTATAGGGAAATTCTATCTCGGAGATGGTGGCCAAAAGGGAAGCAGACAATTGTGGGGGAGACATCCACTAAGGAGAATCTAAAATGGACAGAGGAGATGGACAATGCTTTTCTAGAAAGTCTACTAGCCGAGCAACGTAAGGGGAACATGCAAGATGGCATGTTCACAACTCATGCTTATAACAATGTCGTTATTACTTTGCGTGGGCTGTTTTCACATAATTTCGACAAGGAGAAAATAAAAATAGGCAGAAGACATTGAAAAAGCACTTTGCAACTGTAAAAGACTTATTCCATAACATGAGTGGCTTTGCATGGAATCCGGTAACCAAACTTTTTAAAGCTGAACCAGAAGTATGGAAGCAACTAATTCAGGTATATGATCTATTTTTTGCCATTTTGCCTTGACTTTCCAATCACATACATATTATTATAAAATTCATTATTGTCATGTAGGAGAAGCCGATTGCTAGCAGATGGATTAGGACACCCATTAACAACTATGACAAACTCTTTGAGTTGTATGGGGAGTTTAGAGCAACCGGAGAAGGAGTTGCAAGTGCATTTGAGAGGATCGAACGTTGGGATATGAGGTCTCCTGCATTCGACATTGATTTGAATAACATGTCAGGAGATGATGAAGGTATGAATGCCTATATTCCTTCACCTTTTACACCTCGTGAAGGCACAAATGCATATAGCTCTGATGGTAGATCTTCATTTACTCTTGATCCTCCACCATCAGTCGACTCTCATGGTACTACCTCTTCAAAGGGAACCAAAAGAAAAGCTCCCATGAGAGATGTATCTGCCAATCAATTTGAGGTCATGGCTGTCAAGATGAGTAGGATGGCATCAGGTATAGAGAAAGGTAATGTGATTGTTGAATGATCTGCCAAGGCTATGGAGAAAGGAAATGAGATTAAAGAGAGGTCTTTGGTGATTCTCGACCATCATAAGACTCACATCTACAAAGAGGGAGAAATTTTCCAAGAATTGCAACACTATGATATTCCTGGAGAAATGAGGTTGAATGGCTATAAGTATCTAGCAAAAAATCCGGATACCACAAGGGCTTTATTTGGCTTGCCAGAAGAGTATCGACAACAATTCATTGTTGATTTGGCAAAAAAAACAAACCTTCTCGCAAGTTGACTTTTGATGTGGTCTAGTAGCATGTTACCTAGTACTAATAGGTCACCATCTTTAGGACGGACTTATGTAAGTATAGTATTATCAGGTGACCTTTTTTTGGACGGATTGTACTATGTATCTCTAGTATTAGCAGATGCATTTGGACGGATTTATGCACTTCTAGTATTAGCATGTTACTTAGTACTAACAAGTTGCCTTCTTTTGGACGAACTTATGTAAGTCTAATATTATTATGTGACCTTCTTTTGGACGTATTGTATTATGTATGTCTAGTATTAGCGGATACCTTTATTTTGGATGAATGTATGTATTTCTAGTATTAGCATGTGACCTTATGTTTGGAAAATTACTATTATCCTGTTGCTTTTTGGACAATTTATGTATCTGTAATTTGTTGTATGTTTATATATTTAGTTGCTATTTTGATTACTCAATAAAATAGTTAACAAAATTTTAGTAATAGGTTGACAAATTTCATTCAAATAACCAACTTTTGATTTGTTGTAGTTAGCCAAATTAGCAAAGAAGAATAAATTTGATCCACATTACATAATTAATGTAAATAGTATAAACACATAATTAAATTATTTAACTATTTATCATCAATAAAATATAATATTTAACTATTCTATCATCAATAAAATATAATGCATATCACAATTCCCAATCTACTTTTCCCCTCTTACTTTCCCTTCCACTTTCCTCCATTAAACAACATTTTCTTTCCAATTCCCTCTAATTTCCCTCCCTTCCAAACTTAACCTCCCCTCCAAATTTTCCTACCCTCCCCTCCTTTTCCTTCCTTCCTTCCTTCGGAAACATAGTGTAAGTCTCATTCCTTAAGGAGAATCTTAAACCCTTCCTATTGGTTGATAGTGGATTAGGTAGTTAAAGGGGGTTAGTAGTTAATAGGTAGTTAAGAGTAAATGGGGTTATGCAAATATAATTAATATTATTAATTAATAATTCTCTTTCTATCTCCACCCATGATTTTCTCCATAACCCTCTCTCTACATTATAATAAAAAATACAAAATTAATTTTATTTAATATTAAATGAAATCCGAATTTAATAATTTGCCTTTTTTTAAAATGGAAATTTAAAATATATGGCCTCTCTCACATCTTGGCAACATGTAATTTAGTATCAACATTTTGTAATGACATTATCAATATTTATAATTTAAATCATCATTAGGGTTTTTCATTGCATGGGTTTAGGATTTTTCGTTTTTAGGTATTCGTTTGTGTTATTATTAATGTTGTTCGACAGGTTTTTTTTAATAATATTATGTGACATTATTAAATTTTTATGCTTTGTTTTGTTTTGTTTGTAACATTAGCAAAAGTGAAATTGTTTTTTCAATTTATTGGTACTTGAAGTTCATTTACTATTACATCGTATTATCAATTTGGTTCGCAATAATTTATAATCATTTGAGTGCTATTATCAATGTTTTTTGAAAGCACAATACAACAATTAGCAACAATTTATTTCATTGATTTGTATTATTAACATTTTTCCGTTTATGTTTGTAACTTTGTCAAATGTCATTATCAAGAAGCATACTTGTTAGGTATTCGTTTGTTTATGACGTTAGCAAAAGTGATTTATGTTTAATGATATAACTATGATTATTAACCTTTCAGGCTAAGTTAGTAACGTAGTTGGTGTCATTATTAATGGGTGTGTATAAGCATTATCAATGTTTGAAAAAATAAGATATTAATAATATCTAGTAAGGTACTTAACAATTATTAGTTGCTATCATTATCAAAGTTTTTGGTTGCATTACCCATTAAACACAGGTTAGTTATTAATGTGTTTTAGTGCTATTTGCATGGACCAGGAAACCGGATCGTACCGGCCGGTTCAACTGGTAAAACCGGAAACCAGACCAGGAACGATACGGTAGGTTGTTTGTGGGAAGAATACCGTGTCGGCCGGTTTTTCCGTCTTAACCGGTACAAAACAAAAAACCGCCCGGTTTTGGTCTAACCAGCGTTAAGCTATAGGAACAAAAACTACGTCGTTTTGGTACATAAAATAGTAAAAAAAAAATCGGCCAAAAACACAAAAATCCTAATAAAAAATCTGGAGCCGCTTTCGTTTCCTGCATTCTTTCTTCTCCAGCCGTCCAGCGCAACCTCGCCCCGCCGCTCCAGCACAACCGGCGACCCCCGATTGGCGAACCCGTGACCCGCGATCCTTCTCCGCCGCTCAGTCGTTCATCTTCTCTGGCGAGTGGCGACAAACGAAAGATCGAGCAGATCCGCCGCTCCGCCGCCGACGCGCCTCTCCCTCTCCTGCTCCTCAGCCGGCGCGCATCTCCTATGACAAATAAGGATACATTTTAAGTGGTGATATTTTTGCTTTGCCTTCTTTCGGCTTTTGGTATCCAATCATAGATTAACTTACTTGTTGCAGGCTTAGGAAGTCAGGTTTAGGAAGTACCCTAAAAGGTAAGTGAGTTTGTACCACAACTGGTTAGAGGACATGTATTAATTTAAGATAGAAGGTAGAAATACTTTTAAGGGGAAGTGAGTACTTGTACCCTTTCTATACTTGTGTGTAGTCTACAATGTGCTTTCCCTTTGATTTTGTCTTCAGGAAAATAAATGAGTCGATTTGGAGTGATTTACAGCCTTCTCAAAGAGATATGAGTAGTGAGTTATGACCCCTTGAGTTATGCCTATTTAGTTTATTCATATCTGTTATCCGGTATATTCCGGTTTTATTCCGGTATTATTCCGAAACGGTATACTGAATCTGTCGGTACGGTTTTTTAACAAAAAAATATGTTTTAATTACAAAAACGGTATTTTGCCGGTACACAACGGTTGAACCACGGTAGTACCACAAAATACCCTACCACTAGCGGATCCGGTATGACTTCCGGTACGGTTTCCTTTACCATGGCTATTTGACATTAAACAATTAATTTGAATATTATTAATATTTTTTATTACAAAATCTATTTCTTTATCAGTGACTTGCTCATTTGTTATTAATATCTTTATTAAAAGCTTGATGTCATTTTATAATGTTGAAGTCGGAAATTATTATATTTATGTTTTGTGTTTATTTTCAACGAAACACTTTTCATTATCAATGCTTTATTGTATTGTTATTAAGAGTTTGGTGTTTGAGGCGTGAATGTTAGTTTGCTTGAGCTAATATTTTTCTTGACAATGTTTGTTTAACTGAATCACACAGGTGCACTATGTCACAAGTACCCAAGATGTTGAAAATCAATATTGTGTTTTATGATCATTGAGATTGATAATGTAAAACAATATTAATCGATCATAAAATCTTAATAATGTCATTAGAAATCATTGAAAGAGACCATGACTAGATAGTTATAAACATGATGTGAAAATGTGAATTAGTACTAAAGATGTTGTAAATAAATGATATTGTTATTCACACTGTTTTTTTTTTTTTGCGAATTATTTTGTATTTGTATTAATAAACTGTTGTTTGCTCAAAAATTAAGAGCTCATCTGTGATACAACTGAGTATAACATGAGAGAATATTACAACAATTGATGAAAGAGAATTCTCAGGTTATGGAGGAAGAAGATGGAGTTACATAGCCAAACAACCTAGTTAGTAGTAGTGCCTCCTGCTGATTCATATCATCTTTGGCCACATTCCAATTTATGCAGTTGTTGACTACTTTGTGCATGACCCGGTCCGATGAGCGACTGATATCTCTAAAAGTTCTTGAATTTCGCTCTATTGTTATTCCAACTGTTAATGACCATGTTATATAATTTTAATGATTCATTCATAGGCATTGATGAAGAAACAATAAAACGGTAACAATTGATTCAAAATTGTTAATAATTTAATTGTAAAGAATTGATAAGTATATTGAAATCATTAATAGTGATGAGGTATAATAATAACCATTCATTTCATAAATGCTGATAATGTCATTGCAAAATGTTAATAATGCATTGCAAGTTGCCACGAAGAGAACATATATTTTTAATTTTCAATTTTAATTTTAAAAATTAAAAAAGTATTAAGTTCGAATTTATTAAATATTAAATAATAATATTTAATTAAATTAATTTCGAGTTTCCTTTTCATTGTAGTGGATAGAGAGGGTCATGGAGAAGATCAATGGAGAGAGAGAAAGAGAATCATTAATGAGTAATATTAATTATATTTTTATAATATCTTATTTATTCAAACTAAATATTAACTACTAACGATCATTAACTACCTAATCTAGTATCAGCCAATAAAAATAGTTTAAGAACCTTCTTAAACAATGAGGCTTAAGGACTGGATCCAACCCACAGTTTACTATGACATTTATTTCATTACCTCTTAAAGCCAGCCATATATAAATCTAACATGTACTGATTTGTGGCTCATAAATTATTTAGATCTCGTTTAGAACCTCCGATTCTGAACATAGTATTCTGAGTATACATGTATTCTGTAGAATACAACATTTTTAGACTTGTTTTCAAGTATAATTCATGCATTCTTCTATGATTTCCAAACAAAACATTATTAATACCCGCACATTCTTAGTATACATCAAATTTTAATACACCATTTCGGAAATCAAAGTTTCCAAATGACCTTTTAGCATAATTAAGAATCAGTAATACATCGTCCAACCCTATATATAGAGTAGTACGTCGAAGCAGCTACACTGGGGAAACTTTCAAGACAACTTAGAGCATCTGTAGTCAAATTAACAACTTCATCAAATACTAAATCTACTTAATCCTTTTAACTTTTTTCTTCTCTTGGTTTCTTTTTCAGGCGTAGAACTTATAACCGGAGGAATCCTTGATAATGTTGCGAAACCCGCCAATTGTAGACGCCAGCATAACGAACACTCCAATTACAATCGAAGCCTGCATTTAAATTAACAAAATTAATTCACAATAATATATGACATGAAAAACTAGACATTCACTTTTTGGTTGTGTAATTTCTTACCCAATTGACGAACCAGTTGGGGCTGAACCTTTCAGGCTTTTTGAGGATCAACCACATTATGCTTGGGAGCTGCAACATTAATAAATGATAATGTTGTTAATCTCCAAAATGAGAAAGATGAGTTTGTTTCGGAAACGAGAGAAATTAATTATTAGTAAGGCTTACGAAGAATGAAGTTGGTGCAAAGCCAAATCCACCGAAGAAGCCAAGCAGGTCGCCGAAGAACGGGAAAGTGACTCCAACAAATAGTGTAAATGCTGTCCATATGATAATTAAGTGAATTATAGTTAACTCCCCACATTAATTTATTAATTTCACTACCTGAAACTCAGTTTGGTACACTTAATTAATTATATGTTGGGACGAGTACTGACCAACATATGTTGATCGGGCTACAAGTCTAAGAGGCAACCCTTGGGTGAAGTTCAATTTTTTCACAAGCATCCTCTCTAGCATATCAAATACTGGCATCGCGTATACCTAAAAACACATTTGTCGACATTGTTAATATTTACCACAATGAAAGGAATTAAGCATACTTAATTACCTGGTAGCTGCCGATGACGTGAACGACAACCATAAGGTTGGCGGTGGCAATGAGCCAGGCGGGCCTCTGGAGGTCGATCAACACATTGTCCTGCACATCTTGCCCAAAGGCCCAATAGCCAATCATCGCCACTGGGAAGTAGCAAATCGCGTTGACGAAGTAGGCCCCCATCACGCCCTTCCACATGGGCACCTTGGAGGGCCTTTCTGGTGTCGAAGGGATGGTGGCCTGGATCTCCAGGGCCACCGCGTGGCCCGCAAATGCGAACGAGATCTGGCCCAAAGCGTTGAACACTCTGAACATCGAGTCCGCTGGGCTGGTCTGCTTGTAGTCGTACGTCACGTCCGGTGCCCTCCCGTGGCTCAGGCACCCGACCCACGCTATGGTTGAGTAGCTGCAAATTGCCAAAATAAAAGTCCATGTATCAGCAATCAAGTTTCGACACATTGCGAAATCGGGGAGAGTTAGTTAGTCAGGTTAGGAAGAGTCATCTAGGGCTGGCAAATCGGTTACTCGGATAACCGATGGTATAACCGATAACCACCTGTTATTACTGATAATCGATAACCGATTTGTTGATGAGCTCAGTCGGTTGGCGGAGGCGAAGCGAGCGAGCAGCTTCGGTTAGTCGAGTAACCGACGGAGACTAAACTTTTATTAACCGGCTAATCGAAGCTGATCGTGTGTGCTCATCGGATCTCCCAAAGCGGCAGCGTTTGAGACATTAATTTGGTGATTTAGATGTAATTTAGATGCAAAAGGGATTGAGACTTTACTTTTAGGGATTTAGATGTAGAAATGTAGGTTTGAGACTTTTATTTTAGGTGATTTTACCTTCTTTTTTTTTTTTATGCAGATGGACTTGTTGTCGGGTTCGTTACCATTCTGTTAACGGTTAAAACCGACCCCATCATCAAAATTTTGGTTGCGCGGCTAACCGAGCCAAAAACCGCCTCGCTTAACCGAGCTTCTTTTTCATCCGGCTATCAGTGGGGATTTTGGTCGTGTTCGGCTAACCAATCATCGAGATTTTGATTTTCGGTTAAACCGAAACCGACCGTAATCCACCCCTAAAGTCTTCTGTTCGAATCGTACAACAGCGAATTTCATGGATAATAGGAATTTCTCTACTTGGCCGTATGAAAGAAGAACATACCAGAGAGACATGACTGCAGCAGCCAGAGAGACGCCAGCGACAGAGTTGAAGTTCGGCAGCTGAGACAGAAAGAAGTGAATCCCTCCAAACATGACGATCCAATATGACTGCTTGATCGGTGTACAACTGGAGCAAGCAATCTCCATGAACTTCTTCAAACACTTGCCGCCGGTCACCATGTACACGATATCACACCCAACCTGAACAATCAACTGCTGAGGCAGAACGATCCACGGCCCGAGCTTCTCGCCGAAGGCATGCCTTCCGAGGTCTATGTACCGATCGAATCGAGTCCCGGGGACGCACTCGTGGAGCTGGATCATCTGCCACATCGTGTTCAACGTCAGGCACCATGACAGCACTAGCACCATGGTCCCTGGTCCCCTGTCACACACACACACACATCAATTGGTCACGAAAAATGTTACTAATGTGCAAAATTCCGTCGCTAAAAAGTGAATGATCCAGTGTGATGTGTATAGTGTTACCAGCCCAAGAATGCCATGGCGGAGGGGAGGCTGAGCACGCCTGCACCGATCATGGCGGTGACGGCGTGGAAGGTTGAGTACCACCATTTGGCTCGCCGGCCGTCGGGATCCCCTGCTCCTCCGGTGCCCTGTTTCCATTTCTCCGGCTGATTCTCCTGCTGCTGATTGTGTTTGTATTAGAGATATAATAAGGTAATTGAAGAGACTAAGTACAAATTAAGATGGAAGTTAGTTCATTAGAGTACCTTTGAGGGAGGAGAATCTGAAGTGACCATGTTTGTGGGTTGATGAGAGAAGCAGAGCAGTAGCCAGAGGCCCAAGGTAGTCTTTTCAAGCTAAGCTCTCACTCTGCCCCTGTGGAGTTTTAGTAGTGAGGTGGTAGTTGAGTGATCACTTTCACAACCCAAACTCAAAGTGTTTATAATGTGTGTAGTGGAGTGGAGTGTGTGGAGAGCAATGGAGTGAAAAGATAAGGAAGTGATGCTATTTTACTCTATTTGTGTTCTTTTTGTATTTTCTGACGGGAATTTGGTTGACGTATTTATGAGATCAGCAGAACAATATTCTTGTGTCACTGGATCTGTCGTTCGATTGTGACACTCGTGACTCAACGGCGCGTGAGAACATCATTTTACGCTAACCTACATATAAATACGGTAGGTGAATTCATATTGAGTTGGTTGGAGGAGGATGAAAGATTTATGGAGGTTTTACTATATCGAAACAAGTTTCCATTAGAGAGAGTTTGAGTGAGTGGGATGGTGTGTAACTATTAAAAGTGGGAGGGGACACCTTGTTTGTAAGTGAAAGTGATCGTTCACTTGTTGGTGTCCTATGAAAAGGAAGTTCCGTGGGGAATTCAAAAGAAATGGGAGGGATGAGAGTGGTCTTTTTTGAGTATCTGAGAAAGTGATGGACAAGAGAGCACATCACCACCAACAACACTACCCAGCCAACAATCAACCGCGAATCCAGAAATTTTATATAAGGGTGTATTTTCCTAAAAATTAAGTTAAATTAATTATTAAATAAAAAATATCTTACTTGTCCAAAGTACAACAAAGCACATGACGTGTTTCTTACTTTGAAAAAATTGTAAAATAAAATCGGTGTCTAACAATGCTCTATAAATCTCTCTCGATATATTCTACTAGAATAGGGGAGCCCGTAATTGGGTTTAATCGTTAGCTTTTGAAAATAATTGGGATAAAAAATAGCTTTTTACTATTATATTTGGATTTGAAATACAAGAACAAATGAGTTATAGTCTAATGAAAAATATGTTTACTAATAGTAGCATCGACCCAAGTTCAAATCATATAGGCAACCACTTAAATGTTTATATTTACCCATACACAAACTACTGTTGGGGAATTATAATCATTTTTCCAAATTTTAGGAGTGTCCCGCTACCACTTAAATATTTTTTTACCTATATGCAAACTACTATCGGAGGTTGAATAATAAACTAGTAATGTGGGGTTTTGATATCCAATGTTTAATTTCTAAAACAAGATAGAGAGGTGGGTTCCTGTTAGTATTAGTATTTGGAAACGTGAAAATTGTTGTTTTTTATAAATACTTGCATTATAAGTTGATGTATTGTTTAATACTATGTATTTTAGAACTACCGAATGTTCATAGTTGCGGGAAAGTTAGTTTCTGAATGAAAAGTTGTGTTTACCTTTTCTTTTATAACATATTAAAAGCCAACTACTCATAAAAGTTTATTACGGAAACAAAAATGAGTTCACCGTGCACAAAACATAACTAACCAATAATCATTCATTTTAAATGATTTAAAAAGTCACATCAATAATCAAATGCATGCATTTTGTTTCATTTCGAAACAAAGAATGATACATTATATACAATACATTCATTTATTAAATGCATTAGTTAAAAACGCATATACAAACTACCCCATATACCTTTATAGTGTGCTCCATAGATAGTTCAATTTTTGTTTTTGTCTTTTGTTTGAACAACCTCCGTGTCGTTGAGAAACAAAGAAGATGTTATGATAGTGATAGGATGATATATTTCTTTCTCTCAAACTCAAAAATTTTAAAATTTGCACTAAAAAAGCAGGTAAACGGTACCAAATAAAAAGACAAACTTTGGATGATTTAACATCATTAACCGAAGTGATTGCTTTACAAGTGAGTGGTACTAAAGTGGAGATCAAAGAAAGAAGGAAAGGAGAATGAACTTGGTTAGCCTTATAGATTAGGTTCACTTATACTAAATTAAGGAACAACTTAGGGTAAATGTTACGAGTACTCTTTTTTCTTTTTGTCTTTTTTTTTTCTTATTAAAAAGGTTTCATTTGTTGTTCTAGATTGTTTATTATATATGGATGATGAGGAACAAAAGATGTCCCATTTTCCTACCTTTTTTCTAGTGGTAATAATTAACTATAAATTGCAATATTAATTAACAATATTCTAGTTTAGTTGATTATACCCAAAAGAGGAAAGGAAGATAGATATACAAAAAAAATCAACCAAGATTTTTTTTTTACAACTCAACCAAGACTTTAAGTGATCCATATGTATTAGGTGAATTTTTTTTAGGTTGTCAGCGATTTAGGTAGAGAAAAAAAATTAGGGTCCTCTGATATATACCAGAAAATATGGGAAATTGCAACTATATTTAATATAAAAAAAATTAGGACTCGAATGATTTTGTGGGAAAATGTGGTTTTGGTATTTTAGCAAATATTTATTTTTTGTCAATATCTATCTATTGAAGTTAGCAATGTTTTACCGTTAACGATTGATTGTACACTACATATAGGCGCTTTGTAAAGTCAATTTGACCATATTAATTAAATTGGTTCAATTTGCATCGTAAAAAATGAACTCATAAGATGGTCCATCATGAATGCTCTCCTCATGGAGACCTCCTAAACATGATACATCTTAAAGTGAAAGAAGGTGCAACGAGGTTGTATCCCCTATTCGGATTTCCAAGGCACACAAGACACACATGAAAGCCAAGCATCAAGACACCTCCAACGCCAAAGTTTTTTCCTCACAGTAGCAATTCTGGTTGAGTAACTCAACTCTATCTTACTTTGATTTCTACGATTGTGAATTGAATTGTCTGTAGAGTCGCATAAAAAAAGCTTCTTCACTGATTAATTTATTGTAGAGTTAGCTAGTTTGAAGTGTCAACTAGCTGAAATAAACTTTACCAGCAAAGGCAGTAGGAATCAAAACAAAGCTAATATATTTTCTGAGAAAGTTTGGTATGGTGTCCCCCTCCTCCCCTCCGCCATTGCTTTAAGATGCCTTTCGCCAAAGACTCTGCAATTTTCTACAATTCCTCCCAATGCTACTAAGACACATCTTAGCTCAGTTTGAAGTCTGAAGCAAGCAAGATTGCATATCTATCATTAAAGTGTTGAGCTTAATTTTGGTGCTCCACCTTAGAAATTTTTAATTATAGCACAATGGTCGTGGTGGCATGAGAATATAGGAAACAGAAATCCAAGTGTTTGTTGTTATGATAATTGTTTTTTAATATATATATTTGAAATCATTAGAACTTAGAAGGTGCACAATAAGTTAATTAGATTAGATGAAATGTGCCTGCTAAGATGATGAGTAAACCCAGATAAAGTAGTGCGTGGTCAAGTTATCATAGTAATTAGAACTTCGTTTTCATGGTACAAATTGTGTAGTCTTTTTTAGGAAAATGATAAATATTTTAAATTCAGAAATAGAGTTCACAAGTGAAATAGAAACTAGTATAGTATATTTTCAGTTTCTAATTTATGTTTTCATCTGCTCTTGTGGTAACAAGAGTTGCCAATACAGCCGAAATTAGCTGAAATCAGTGAAACCCATTTAAGTGGCTTTTTTGTTGTTTCCGAAATATGTTTCTTGTGGGATTCTATCAGTCGTTGGAATAATTTCATTCAATGAAGTCTATAACCAAATCTCAATAGACCCGCTTTTTACATATTTTTTCCCTTTCATTCTAGGCAAAACTCATCTCGAAACCTTATTACCAATAACTTTTTGTATTTTTTTTTTCTCCGTCAGTTTTATCATAACTTGTCATTTCACACTATTTCTCTCCATATTTCATATTTTTATCTTAGTCTCAAACAAGACCTAAAGAAGTTACTATGGGTTATATTGTCATCCTATCCTCGAGTGTTATGGACTCCCTGCTAGTTTCCCCTCTCTTCAATTGTAGTAGTAAGTAGTAGAATATTAACTATTTATATAAAAAAAATGTTTCCTTTACTACGATACCCAATTACCCACTAATCATATCACCAATTCCAGAAGGAGAATAGTTGCCTTACTAATGGGGAGAGTTGGAGGGTCTCAAGTGTAATGATTAGAAAGCAAGACGGCTGCTTTGTTAATCTGGAAATAAGTTGGTGGAGATGTCATATTCTTCTCCAGCCAAGTAATCATACCCAATCACGGTTCATATTTAGGGAAAAGTTGGGAAAGTGGCTCACTTAAATCGCCCAACTTTAAGACCAAGAAGCCAATGATATTGATATGCTTAGTTGGTAGAACTTGTAAAAATGACTCGGCTTGATAAGGGAATCAGGATGACGTCATTTCTGAAATCACAGTGACCATTAGGACTGCAATCTGCATTCTGGGAGATGTGAACCAGTGGCTGGCAAGCTTTAATTACTACATGTTCCTTCAACAAACTCCTTCAGGCAGATTTATCATTCCAAGAAAGTGTGTCAGAGGGATGTTATATGACTACATGTTTGCTCACAACATCCTTGCAAGCATAATAAGATGAAATTCAGACTGATTACATGAAACCTGATTCATGATGCCATTACCTAAACTAACTCAGGAAGCCAGTTCCAGGAATGTTTTGTGGACCTTGAGAAGTCAATTGGGCTTGAGAGACTAACTGGGACCTCCCGCCCGGACCTTGAACATAGCCTTGACCAATACCACTCCCGACCATCTGTTGTTGTTGTTGTTGTTGTTGATGTTGCTGCTGCTGCTGCTGTTGCTGCTGTTGTTGTTGCTGAAGTTGTGAAAGCTGTTGCTGTTGCTGCTGCTGCTGCTGTTGTTGCTGCATTTGCTGCTGCTGTTGCATCTGCGGGTTTTGCTGCTGCTGTTGTTGGAGCTGGGAGAACTGTTGCTGCTGATGTTGTTGGAGCTGGGAGAGCTGTTGTTGCTGCTGCTGGGGTTGCAGTTGGGAGAGCTGCTGCTGCTGCTGAAGCTGTTGAAGCTGATGCTGTTGTTGCATCTGCTGCTGCTGTTGTAGCTGTGCATGTTGTTGCTGTGATTGCATTTGCTGCTGCTGGAGGTGCTGTTGCTGTTGTTGCTGCTGATTCGGTATCTGGGGCTTAAACACGACCATGTCCTGGTTGCAAAATATACTGATATTTGTGAGAGTTAAAAAAAAATGAAGGCTCAAGAACCATGTAATTCAGAATGAACGAGTGCGACAAGTGCTATTAAGGACACTAAGTGCAAAATGCATCAGAAATTACGTTACCAGATGAACGAAATAAACTCTTACCCCAGGAAAAAGCATTCCAATCAAGCGGCAGGCTTTATCAGAGACAGAAAGTAACAATGTCTGAGATGGCAGTTGTATGACTGCACACTGGAAAGAATATGGTAGAAGAGCAAAAAAGCAACATCAGGTATGTAGCCCATTAATTAAGACTCAGACTTGCATCCATACAGGAAAAGCCTA